CTAACCTCGCACGCGCGCCCGTGCAGCACGCCGCTGGCCGCATGCCTGGCGCTCACCTGGGACAGAGGACTCGCCGGTGGAGGGACTGGCTTCGGGCTCTGTGTGGACGCGCGAGGCCGAGGACCCTTGGCGCCGGGCCGGGGCCGTGGTGGCGGCGGCGGCGTTTTCCTTGCAGCCTGGCTGGACCGTGAGCGGTGGACTGTGGCTGCGGTGCCCTTGGCAGGTGCTGGTGCTCGCCTATCGCGCTCTGTTCTCTCTTTGTAGACGGCGGGCGCTAACACCACCGACAAGGAGCTAGAGGTGCTGTCCTTGCGCAATGTCACCTTTGAGGACGCGGGGGAGTACACGTGTCTGGCGGGCAATTCTATCGGGTTTTCCCATCACTCTGCGTGGCTGGTGGTGCTGCCAGGTACTGGCTCCTGCGGCCTGCTCTGTCCCCGTCCTGCCGGGGTCGCTGGCATGGGACACTCCACGGCTGCCAGGGACAGGCGGGGGACCCTGCGGCCCGGGGCCACCTCGGTCCCCGGTGCTCCTGCGCCAGGCCGATGGCTGGTAGGGGAACGCGGTCGACACGCCGTGTCTTGGCTCACAGGCCCCCCTGGAGCCCCCCGCTCCCGGCCAGGTCCCCGACAGCCTAGGTGGCAGCTCTGGCGTCTCCCCGGGTGCCGGGTGTCAGTGCTGCTGGCTCTGCGGGGCTCCTCCTCTGCTGGGTGTCCCCCTGCTGACCCGGCGTTGCCGACCGCAGGCCCCTCAGTGCGCCCCCACCGGGGCTCCGAGCCCCTTCCCCGCGCCCACCGCGCCTCTGGCCCCGGCCCCGGGCGGCCCACGGGGGCCCGTGAGGCTGGGCCAGGCCTGCAACGCCCGTGTCTTTGCAGCCGAGGAGGAGCTGGCGGAGGCCGGCGAGGCTGGCAGCGTGTACGCGGGCGTCCTCAGCTACGGGGTGGGCTTCCTTCTCTTCATCCTGGTGGTGGGGGCCGTGGCGCTGTGCCGTCTGCGCACGCCCCCGAAGAAGGGCCTGGGCTCGCCCACCGTGCACAAGGTCTCCCGCTTCCCACTCAAGCGACAGGTAACAGAAAGTAGATACCGGGTTCCGAGCCGCCTGGCCTCCCGGAGCCCCCACGGCCCCGCCTGCCGAGCTCCTGAGCGCAGGGACACCCCGCGGCATCTGAGGCGCAGGGCCTGCCCAGGGGTGCGGCTCTGTGTGGCCCCTGAGCCGACCCCGCCCTCGTCCTTGCGGTGCCCCGGGTCACTTGATCTTCACGTGGCGCTCTGTGGAGGGCAGTCAGACCTCCCAGGCCCCGGCCAGCCCTGCCCACACAGGCAGAGCCGCATCCTCGCTGTCCCTAGCTACCCCCGACCCCCTCCCTCCCGCCGTGGTTTGGCCCCACGACGCCAACCTGTCCCTGCTGACCCAAGCAGGTGTCCTTGGAGTCCAACTCGTCCATGAACTCCAACACGCCGCTGGTGCGCATCGCCCGGCTGTCTTCTGGGGAGGGCCCTGCGCTGGCCAACGTCTCCGAGCTGGAGCTGCCCGCTGACCCCAAGTGGGAGCTGTCCAGGGCCCGGTCAGTGGTGGCAGTGTGAGCCTGTGCGCTGGGGCTGGGCTCTGACTCGGTGGGGATCGGGGACACGTGGGGTGTAGCCCCGTGGCGGGGGAGGAGGCACCACCCCGAAACCTGATAGGACTCCGATCAGAGACAGGTAGGAATCAGCTCCATGCACAGCGTGGCTACGGCCAGAGGAGGCTGAGCCAGGGACAGATGCTCCCGGGGGTAGGGGCACCCCTTGCAAAGTGCTCTGGAGGGCCCCCGCACAGAGGACGAGGCTGCAGGGTCAGCGTCCTTCATCTTCACGAGCAAGGTTGTGGGAGCAAGTATGGAGGGCTTCCTGGATGCGGTGGCACTGGGCCTCCGAGACTGCCTGGGACAGAGCCCGAAGCAGGCGGGAATGCTCATTGCCTCTTCGTCTCTGCCACCAGGCTGACCCTGGGCAAGCCTCTTGGGGAGGGCTGCTTCGGCCAGGTGGTCATGGCGGAGGCCATCGGCATCGACAAGGACCGGGCTGCGAAGCCTGTCACTGTGGCCGTGAAGATGCTCAAAGGTGAGGGAGGGGAGGGCTGTGGCAGCGGGGACCTGGGCAGGGCTGGGGCAGCGGTGCCTGACGCAGCCTCCCTCCTGTGCAGACGACGCCACGGACAAGGACCTCTCGGACCTGGTGTCTGAGATGGAGATGATGAAGATGATCGGCAGGCACAAGAACATCATCAACTTGCTGGGGGCGTGCACCCAGGGCGGTAGGTGCTGCGGGCGGGCGATCAGCTGGGGCTCCCGGGGCCCCGAGGGCGGGGCCCTCCACTGAGGCTCCTGTGCTCCTAGGGCCCCTGTATGTGCTGGTGGAGTACGCGGCCAAGGGCAACCTGAGGGAGTACCTGCGGGCCCGGCGGCCCCCGGGCATGGACTACTCCTTTGACACCTGCAAGCTGCCCGAGGAGCAGCTCACCTGCAAGGACCTGGTGTCCTGCGCCTACCAGGTGGCGCGGGGCATGGAGTACCTGGCCTCGCAGAAGGTGAGCGGGGGTGGGAGGAGGGGTGGCAGGTCCCTCAGCCAGCCAGGGCCACTTGGGAGCCTCACTGCCCACCCCTCCCCCTCAGTGCATCCACAGGGACCTGGCCGCCCGCAACGTGCTGGTGACCGAGGACAACGTGATGAAGATCGCGGACTTCGGCCTGGCCCGTGACGTGCACAACCTTGACTACTACAAAAAGACCACCAATGTGAGCCCAGCTGGAGGGGGGTGGTTGATTGGTGGGGGGGAAGGAGAGGGAAGGCCCCCCCACCAGCAAGAGGGCACTGGCCCCAACGTGCCCCCTTCCCCCTCCCAGGGCCGGCTGCCCGTGAAGTGGATGGCGCCTGAGGCCTTGTTTGACCGAGTCTACACCCACCAGAGTGATGTGTATGTGGTCTCCCAGATCCTGGGGAGGGCCAGGGGGTCGGGAGCTGCGGGGGACGCGGGACAGAGACGGGCCCCTCCCAGGCCCTGGCCCATCTCCCCTGCTCTCCGGTGGGGGGCGCAGGGCAGGCTGACTGTCCTGTGCGCCCCACCAGCTGGTCCTTTGGGGTCCTGCTCTGGGAGATCTTCACCCTGGGGGGCTCACCGTACCCCGGCATCCCCGTGGAGGAGCTCTTCAAGCTGCTGAAGGAAGGTCACCGCATGGACAAGCCGGCCAACTGCACACACGACCTGTGAGTGTCCGCACCCTGCGGCCACCCTTCCTGACACTGGTCCACGGGGGGGCTCACCTCCCCCCACCCCCCCGTGGCCTGGGAGCTCCCTCGGCAGGGTGTCCGAGGGGGACGGGTGGGAACCCATTACGGGCTGGGCTCAGGTGGGCGCCGGGCCGGGAGCCTTACCCGAGCGCGCTGCCCACAGGTACATGATCATGCGGGAATGTTGGCACGCGGTCCCCTCCCAGAGGCCCACCTTCAAGCAGCTGGTGGAGGACCTGGATCGCATCCTCACTGTGACGTCCACGGATGTGAGTGCTGGCCCCCCCCGCCCCCATGCTGCGTGTGGGGGACACAGCACTGACCGCCGCCCACCCACAGGAGTACCTGGACCTGTCCGTGCCTTTCGAGCAGTACTCACCAGGCGGCCAGGACACCCCCAGCTCCAGCTCCTCGGGGGACGACTCTGTGTTTGCCCATGACCTGCTGCCTCCAGCCCCACCCGGCAGTGGGGGCCCGCGGACGTGAAGGGCCATCGGCCTGCAGGCCGAGCCCCCACCAATGTGAGAGTGGATGCCAGCTCCCCCCGCCCCCCTGTGCTGCTGGTGGAGTGCTGTCAACCACTGGGGCCCCCTGGCCCGGGTCTGAGTCCTGGGACAGATGGACAGACAGCTGTGTGTGTGTGGGTGTGAGGGCGTCTTGGGGCCCCGGGCGCAGGGATCCCCGGGGTGCGCGCCCTGCTGTACAATGACCTCCTGGCCACCGGCACTGGCAGCCCCAGGGGGACGAATGTAGAATGTAAAGGGGTTCCTCCCGGGGCCCCTCAGGACAGGGAGCGGGGCCCCTGCCCCAGGCTCCCCTCCCCCCACCGGCTGCCTCCCAGGGAGCCCCAGGGCTGGCCTGGCTCTGGCATGCAGTGTAGGGCCTTGGGCTGAGCCTGCGGGGTCGCCCCCATGCGCAGGCCGCCCACCCACCCACGCGACACCTCGTGCCTGGGGGTGAGTGTGAGCACGCAGCCCCCCACCTCCAGCCTCCCCCACATCCCACCCTGCTCCTTGGAGACGGAATTACGGGTACCTGAAGCCTTTAACTTCTCTCCGAGAGGTTCATTCCAGAAATGAGTGTACATTTATATAAATAGAAGCCGTGTGTAGGATACACACACGTATATATATATAAATACCTATATGGAAGAAGGGCTGGTGTCGCAGGCATGGGACCCCGGGGGCCCAGGGAGCCTCCCCGAGGGATTTGCTGTGGAGACGAGCACAAACACCAGCAGATGATGGAGGGGCTTTTCTGGCAGTTTTGTTTTAAAAATTGTACCTGGACCTGTATATTTGTAAAGCTATTTATCAACCCCCAGAACCCCTGTCCGTGTGTTGCCGCCCCCCCCCCCACGTTCATAGTGTTGAGACAGCCGCATGGCAGAGAGGTTTCAGTTTTAACTTATTAACAGCTGAGAAGGGTCCTGCTCCATTTAGAGGCACCGCGGGGGACGCACATCGCGCCGGGCTTGGCCAGCAGCACCCCAAAGCTCAGCCCGTTTCCGTGCGCCCTTAAGGGCCGTTCATAGTTTGAGGTGATTCTAGTGAGGATATTTTATTTCCTTTGGCCTTCTTTTGCAGGCGAATTAGATTTCTATAGGGTTTTTCTTTAGGAGATTTATTTTTTGGGACTTCAAAGCAAGCTGGTATTTTCCTCCAAGTTCTAATTGCCATGTGTTCCGGGTGGGGAGGCAGCTTCCAGTGGGGGCCAACCCTGCACGCAGGCTCAGATGTTATTAGATTTTACAAGTTTATATATATCTATATATATAATTTATTGAGTTTTTACAAGATGTATTTGCTGTAGATTTAACACTTCTTACGCAATGCTTCTAGACTTTTATAGCCCGGACTGCCACCTTTCAAAGCTTGGGAGAGAAAGCCGTGAATTCAGTTTTGTTACTTTTTGTACTGTTAATGGCCCGAATTTGGGGGGCTGTTTTTTGCTCATCAGCTGGCCAGCCGGCCAGTGGTTCAGGGTGGTCTTTGTTCTCAGGGCCCCCCCCCCCCCCCCTTATGGGGGCCGAAGGTGTCGGCCCAAACTAGCAGACATGCTTTCCAAAAAATAAAGAGAGACGACTGGTTCCCATCCCTGCTCTGTGACTCCTTGTTTCCTGCCTTTCTGGAACCCCAGTTCAGTGTCCCTACTGCCCGCCTGGGACAGGTCCTGTCGGCCGCCCTCCCTGCCCTGAGGAGGGAGGGGTCTCCAGCTGCTACGGGCACAGACTGGGACTGGCGGCCTGCGGTCATAAGCCCAGGTCCCGGCTTGGATAGGACAATCCTGGGCAAAGCCAGGGTGAGGGTGGTCCGCTATGTCCAGCTGCCTGGGGGTCCAACGCGGGCAGGGCACAACCTCAGGGCCATGGGTGGTCTTCATTGCCTCAGTCTGAGGTCCCCAAGGGCAGGGAATGCCAGCAAGGGGGTGTTCAGGGGATGGGCAAGGAGAGCATCCTGGGGTGTGGCTGCGCAAGGAGGAAGGAAGGCCCTGCCAAGCTGCCTGGCTGCCCCTGGCTCCTGGGCTCTAGGTGGACTCGGGGGGTCCTGTGCAGGCATCTGCAGCGACTTCTGAGGCCTCCCCCTCCACACCCCACCTGCTGGCACCTGCGGTTAGCTGGGGGGGGGGAGGGGGAGGAGGTGGTTTCTAGTGGGGCTCCCCGCCCACCCCCGCCACAGAGCCACATGCCAGCAAAACTCACCTGGCCCCTGATTCAGACACACCGGGGGTTGGGGGGGGGAGAGTGCTGTCTGCTCTGGGAGCCACACTCCAGCTCCCGGATGCTTCCCTTCCCCATCCCAGGCCTGGCATCGCCCCCGCCCCGCCCCAGGGGCTTCACCCGCAGCCCCTGCTCTCCACCACTCCTGGGACTTTGGGCAGACGCTGCATGCTGACCCTCAGCTAGCTGGGGCACCGAGGACCCAGTGACAGGACCTGGCCCCCTCTGCTCCAGAGTTCTCGGTCTGGGGCAGTGGGGACGCGGACCAGGGCACCCACCCACGCCGCACTGGGGGGGTAAGTCTGGGAAGGCTTCCTAAAGGAGGCGGTAACGCCCAGGCTGTGCTGAGGCTGGAGAGGATTCGGGGACCGGCGGCCGAGCACAGACTTGCCCAGGTCCTCTCTGAACCCCAGGGCTGTGCAGGGCCGGCCGTCCCTCCTTCCTCTGTCGCTGCTGACACCGAGTCTGGTCTGACTGTAGAGGGCCAGCCACTGTGCTGGGTCCAGTTCAACTCTGGCTTCTCAGAAACTCGCTCCCGCTAGATAGAGCTGTGTTCAACTCACTTTCCAAGTCGGGGGCCCCCCTGAAGGGAGGATCTGAACCCGGTGCCGCCCCATACCGTGACCTCACTGGGGGAAGCACTCCTGGCGCCCGGTCCAGCCTGCCAGAGACCCAGTGTTGTGTCCCCAGCGCTCCGGAGAGATGCAGGCCAATGAGGGCGTGAACCACAAGTGTGGGAGTGCGGCCTGGGGCCAGCAGCACCCCAGGCCGGCGGGGAGGTGGAGGGGGCAGCCCAGAGGGGACCCGCGG